TTAAAAGTACTTGTTTGATTTGGTTGGAGTTTGATGTTGGTAGAAATTTCAGGCATGTTCAAGTTCTATGTGCTGGCATCGATATAACTTAGATGTTTTGGATGTCTGTGATTAGTTTATCGCTTTTTAGGAGCTAGACTTTGTCATGCACATACACGTGCAAAGTTTATTAAAGACAATACTATATTAAATGAGTCTAGGTTCCCCAGCTGCTAAAATATTTAGACTGACCGCTCAATTGTAAATAGTTTGGTCACCATCCGTCTTAGTTGGTAACATTTAGTTTTACCAGCTAGCTAAATTCGCGACGTACCTTTGTTTAAATAATTGGTGTTGACTAATTCGAAAACAATCCAATCCGTCGGATATGTATTTAACAAGAAATAAAACATTGATCTAGCAAAAGTAGCGTGCGGCGGAATTTCTCCCCGGGGACCAGCTAGGGTGTCGGGGGAGCGCTGTTAATAAAAGTATATTAAAAAATTACAATGACGACATGGGCTCCCAACCCGCAACTGACAGGATTGATGTCATATGCTCGGCCACGACGTTAGTTATCAATTTGACAAAATGTTTATTTTGTAAAACTTGAGACTAGTTGGGAAAAGACTAGTTCCCTCGAGTACAAAGATAGCACATCAGTGACCGGCTATTATAGAGGATGTAAAAACTTACTACATTTACATCGTCGTCTAATTGTATCTAGGATATGTAAATTTACAACTTGTCTCTACTTGACATTCGACAAAAATTTACCCCTCACCTAAATTAAGCTATATGCTTTTAGCTTTTCAAAGCACTTATCCGGATACAAGATTCTTAATTATTTCATTCTGGTTCTGGCAATATTATTTCGACCAATAAATCTCCACCTTCTGAATTTCCTCAGGTTTATTTTCAGAGTTTCACTCAGATTTTTATGTGGTATATTGAGATGTAAATAGGGAAATCTGGCATACAAACAATAGGTTTTCCTAAAATTAAGCTTGGATACACAAAATAAAAACTTAGCGCCAGATTTACAACATACATTGTATACTATCCAAAGAACGCCCAATTTACCGCCTAATTTGTACATTTTCGGCTGTACATATATTCAATTTACCGTGAGTCGACTAATTTATATATGCCGACTGTACGCTCATTTACCATACCCTAAAGGCTGCCTAAATACATTGTGTCGTCGTTGACAATACGAAAGTACGTGGTTTGGTTCAATATAGCTGTGTAACTCATGAACTCAGAGCAAATGGTAATGTGCAGATCACGGCTAAACTAAATACACTCTACGAGCTATAGTTATGTGATCGGACTTATTTTGAGAAATTGCGTATGCTTTTATTTCCATACAACATCATCTATTATTTTGTTGCCAAAACTATCATCGTTTTAAAAACTTTGAAAACAAGCCAGCACCTTTACTATGGTTTTGACAACCCTCGGAGAAGATGGGTTTTTTGTTCAGGTGTATAGATCTGCTTGCAAAAAGAAAACAACCAAAAAAATATTCTGTTTATTTCTAAATAAGTCTGTAAAAAAATCATTAAAAAGGAAGTTTTTATACAAAATAGCGTATGCCCTTATATGAATTCTCAACCAGTGTGTTTTGGTGTATACATTATGCCTAACTGCATTTGTTACATTCATTACTTATAGCATATCAGTTTGTTCAATTTTAAAATATTAATTTCACAATATACCGAAAATTGTGAAACTTATTTAGAATACATTTCATAATTACGCCCTATAGTCGCAATGTCCTAGCTCAAGTTGAGTTTAGTTAATTAATTTGTTGTCAGGACAAAGAAACCTTGAGACCCATGACGGTAATTATTGTACATTGTAGGAAATGCGCTTTATCTCCTTCTAATACAAAACTAATGATAACTCAAATTTGTGTCCAATTTGTGATGTTTAAACATACGCTATATTGATCTTACAAATTGGTAAGCAAACATATTCTAATTTTAAGGGGATATGCGCAGAAAAAATCACAAAATTTCTTGTTTTTCGTCATGATCAGTTTCTTGCACTTTTGGATACTTTGTCCATTTTTGTATAAAGAAAATAATAACTTTAAAGAGAAAAAAATATTTTATGTGTTTGAATTACCATTTTTACGACCCTATTAATTAAAAAATAATCAATTTTTCCCAATCTTACAAGATCTCAATGAAAAGTTTTATATCTGTCATTATATTGTATTTGACATCATTGGAAAGCTGGATTTCTCATGTATCTAATAAACTTAATTTCCTACATCTCGGAAACACCCAAAGCTTACAATCGGCTTTGCAGTTTACACAGATATGGTACTTTCCTGACCTAGTTTTCGTTACTTTTTGCTGTTTTTCTCAGTTCGCATGTTTTTAACACTAAAAAGCCTACTACTTTTTTATTTATTAAACAATGCCAACCATATTTTCAGTACTTGTTCTTGATGCAAAAATACAACTTTTGTCACGAGGGAATTGTGATTGCTTTCATAGAAAAAAGTATTTGGTAATTAATATGCAAATTTTGAAACTTTTGAATACTAAAACGGGTACGATTTTTTAGACCTTGTAAAATTCTTACTAATAATTATTTCAAAAAGTTGTCATGACAAAAGTTTTAATATATACTGAATTATAAGCAGTTTAAATTTGATTGCTATAGGTGCATAAATAAAAAAGCCTTAGTATTTTTAAAAGTACCGAAAAATTCAAAATGGCGGAGGTTTTTTTGGTTTCCATGACAACCAAAATTGTTTTTGACCCTTTTTTTTGCTGTTTAATAATTACTTTTATATGCCAAATATGATAAAAGTATTCAAAAGGCTTTAGATCTTAAATTGTAAAAAATAGAAAAAAACATAGCATATCCCCTTAATAATACAAATTACTTTTATTTTTATGTTTAAGTTAAAACTAAAATCTTATAACGTGAGAAACATTCTGATAGTAAAGTCTCATGGATGATTATAATTTGTTAACTAATTAATAAACTTTATTCGGACGTTATTTTTCCTTTGTTTTTTTTTTTCGCTTTTAATTTAATTCAATTAAATCTTTTATCATCTGAACATTTTAAGAATTGTCTAGACTTAATCTTGTCGAAGACAAGATTTTAAAAGCCCTACTCAGTTCGGCTTTTCGTTTTTGTCATTATAACCCACGCTTTTAGTACTATATTTCAATAGGAAAAAAAACATAATATACTGAGGTTATAAATGTGCGATGCAAGTTTGAAACATTGATTCCGGAAAATGTTTTATTTCAAATATATCACCTGTTGAATATACAGCAAACTAAATATTTTAAATAATACTTATTCATTTAAAGCCTCTATATTTTAATCAATAAATAATTAGTTTACTAACTTTGGAGACGAAATCTCTGATACGTTTACTCTTACTGACCCTTATCCTTTTCAGAGGTATCGAACCCCTCCACTTTTATATGCGCATTTACCGTACCCTTCTTAATAGTTCCAGCGTCCGCACTGACAAAATCCGATCGTGAATCATTTGAGTCGGGTGTGTGTCTATATCTACGTCGAGCCCATGAGACTGACTGGGGCCCAGGTTAGAACCACTGCTCTAATAGAAATAAACATTTCTCAAAGCGCGGTCATTGTCGTTCATTTTTACATACAATAAAAATCTTTTAAACACCTGGGAAAATGTATAGATTTAATATATTGATTCTTTCAAATACAATGTACGCTATTCTTTTTCTAAATTGTGCACTATGTGCTTGTGTGGCGTTTTTAAACTGACGTTCATATTTTGCTAATACCTTGTTACTCAAGCTTTTGTATTAGTATATCTTTATATTCTTTCTTACAGAGGTTTAAATTATTATATTCTTTTTAATATTGTGTCAACCATCTATCGTTGGAAGATGCTTTATTATTGGTTTTTTAAAACAATATTTCAAGATGCGAGTTTCATTATATTTAAAATGATTACATATGTAGTCGCATATACAATAAGCATTGAACACTCATTAATATTATTTTGAAAACTGGTTAAAACTAAAGAGTACATATTTTAAGTACACACTTAGCACTCATAAAAATCAAGTTATATGGTGTTAATCATGTCTGTAACAATTTTTCTTTTACCTATTAAAAAGTGAAGTACGTGACTGAGTAATTTTCTTGTTTTAGTTTACATTTTACTTTGATTTTCGGGAGGAGAAAAATAGGACAAAAAAGTTTGCGATTCAGGCGTTTTAAAATGTTGTATACATTTTTAACCGCTATTAATTGTATGATAGTTACTCAACAACTTCTTACAGTGTTTTTTTACATACACTATATAAAATATAACTTCAAGAGGTAAATTTGGAAGGAAATGTTGCTTGCAGTAATGCATTAAAATCAGACAAAATTTAAGTAGAAGTTTGTTTTTTTATGCATGACAGCAATACTTAGTAATTATTCGTAATGTTGGTTTTATCTTGATTAATGTTAATTATTATTTCTAAATTAAGCTGACCTGTAGCAATTTCGTTTTAGCAGTATACAAGTGTAAAAACATCAGTGACGGAAAAAAATAGCAAAAAAAGGTAGATGAAGTTTTGGAGTAAATTTACCTTGGTCTCTAGCTAATCTTAACACCGTTAGGGGGTGGAACTACAGGAACCTGTACGCCCATCATTTTTAGCCCTGCCCACTAAGGTAAAAATGGAAGTGCCCACATTTGACCTATACAACCCTTGAACTGACCCTAAAATTTCAGATCACCAATCAAATGCTTCATGTCTAAAACAGCCGAGTCACGTAGTTTCAATACACTGTGTGGAATAAGAAAAAAAATCATTTCTTAGAATCCAGCTTTCCCGGGGATAAAATAAATTGGCTCACAAACCCGGTAGTGTGCAGCTTTAAAAAAAAGGCAGAAGAGGGGGTGGGGATTTGGGAAATGGTGGATAGGGGGACCATGACTCTGTAAAAGTTGAATTTATAGTTAAATATACAGGGGCTAAGTGCAATGTTCGTTTCCCCCCCCCCCCACCACAACCCTTGCTTTACACCAGGTTAAGGTCGAGTTGTGCACCAATTTTCGTTTGTGCAGTGACACGTCAGTATCAAGTCATGCAGATCAATAGGTTAACTTTACATAGTTACATAGACTTTGTTCATATGTTACATAACATATATTGCACCTTGTTTCCTAGCATTGATCCTTAACAGTACTAACGCTAAGTAATTTAAAAAAACTATTTTAATTACCATTTCATTTGTCATTTTCAAATGTGTCATGTTGTTCTACGACCTTTTGCAGTATATTAAAAAAATATGCAACATTAGCTATGAATATTTCTTAAGGTAAAACATGGCTGCGGCGTGTCTACACGCTAAAAAAACCACCGGCCTATGTAGGACATTCGCTAGGGGTTATTTTACACACAAAACTGTTATCTGTGTCCCTCTGTATGCAGCTGTTTCTATTTGCAGCTACCATGACACACGGGTGGTAAAATGTTCTCAAGGTACGCCAACATCGTTGGTCTGCACCTGCAATGTAAGAACAGAGATTTCTTGACGTCATTCAGTCTATTTAGTAGAGAAGAAAAGTAATCACGCGCTGTATATTCCACTCGAAAATTGACATTTACGCTGCTATAGAATTTAATAGTGGAGAATACTTTGACATTGGTGTGGTTCAGAACATCTGGTACTTGTAAACATAAAAGAACAGGACGTTATAGTAGGGGTGTGTAGTTAAAAATGATGTGGTGGATTGGACAGTATATAGTAGATATAAAGTTCGTAGGTGTAATTGAAACGCATTGTATTAACCTGTAATTTTGTTCATATATATGTGTATATGTTTGTGTGTGTGTTTTTGTATGTATGTATGTACGTGTGTGCATATGCTACTTACTAAAATTATATTTTCTTCTAAATTGATTTTGACTAAAATTACATTTAACGAAGTATGGTGTGCGTATAGCAATCAAATTTGAGAAACATGTTGTGATATTTTTGCTGCTTAATTTTAAAAAAAATGAAATGAAATTAATTTTTCAGATCAGTTTCAAAAAAAGGGGAGCTTACTTGCAAATTTAAGTGACTTTGTTTCTGACAGTTTTGTAGCACCGCAATTTGCAGTTTATTCTGTTTCAAAATTATTTTTTGGCTTTATAAGCCTAGAACAGAAATAAAAAAAAGCTTTTCAATAATAAACAGTATGTATTGACCAGTTCTGACTTCAAACATTTGACAGCCATGATGTTATACACTTTCAGTCACGCAACATCTATTTCCACACAGAGTTATCTAACTTGTTGACTTGTACTCTACAAAAATGATCCACGTTTGCCAGCGAATTTTTGCCGTGTGGCTTGTCGTACTTCATATTAATCTATCCACAAAACAGAGCTTATACGCACTATTTATTATATAATACAAATAAAGATTTGAAAAAAAAAAAATGTTCTTAAAACTTAAACAAAATATCTACAAAAAAGAGGTCTATTCCGTATGAACAAAAAATCTACATTATATGAGCAAGATGCCTATAATATATATTTTTTTTTAAATCTACATTGTACGAACAATACATAAACCATATATTTACTATGTACCAACAAGATTTCAACTATGGATAAACAAAAAAAAGCGGGAGTGATCTCCCCTAAACATTCTCGAATATACTTATATAATTCTTCGAAGGATGGCAACTCGGGAATATACATGATTTTTAATCCATTTTTAATTACTGAAACTTTTTAAAATAGAATAGAATCTCGTAAAAAAAAGAATTGCGCACTAAGTGAACGTCAAACAATATGTGTATAATAGTGCAGAATAATAGTACTTAATAAATTCATATGCGATTTTTTTTTTTTTTTGAGAAATCGGAAATACTGTAAATTACTACTTCCGATCCACAGAAATTACTCAAAATTTGACAGAAAGCAGACTATTAGATCTTTTTTCCGACTTGATTATGCGTAAAACGCATCTCCTATACTCCGTATATGATGTAGTACTGATCAGTAAAACGGTGAAAACTGTCAAAATTTCATGTGATTTTTGTGCACGATTACAATACTTCCTCTATACTCTGTATACGAGAAAGTAAAAATGTACATTGCAACCATACCAACAAATTGTCCACCATGTTTAATTGTAAACATAAATGTACATTGTACGAATTCGATAGATAATTGTGAAACACGTTCTCTTAGTGTATCACGATGCTTGGCACATATTTTGAATACGAACTTAGACAAGCTCATGCAAGAATTATGGAACCAACTCAATACCATAACACAGCCCATTTTCTGATAACAATATGCGTACCTATTTAGACCTCTATGTACTTAGTGCAGTATTATTACGCTTGAAAATAACTTACATCCGAATTACGTTACTAGATATCTAAACAGATTTAAAGGAATTTGCGCAGTCTCTAGATTTCAAGGTAGTTTTATGAAACATGTGAGACACAGGACACAGTCTAGACACAGATTGAATACTTTTTCTCAAAACTTGCCAACTGGTTCAAGGCTAGTGTACATGGACAACAAAAATAGCCCCCTTCGGCTGTCAATGTACTTTAAATTTACGGCAATACTAAAGGTTGCTGAACCTTTCTTGTTTATCTAGGATTTAATGTTTATGAAAAACATGTTTTCTTTTGTGGAAAATTTCATTATTCTTTCTATTTTAAGATTTTTTAAGTAGTCTCGGCGTTTATAAGTATATATTTTTTACATAAATTCTTTGTTTCATTAGCCAACTGTACTGTTATATTTTTAGCGGCTCTAGTTTTTATGTTTGTCACACATCATATATAATTCAAACCCTTTATATTAAGAAATAATAACAGTTAATTAAAAATTTGACATTGTGGCTTTTATTTGAACAATTCTAAAACGAAATGCGCAAAACTGTATTATAGGAAGTAAATAAACTATTTTTAACTCAAGTTGTGTTGATTTGCTGCCTTAACAACACTGTATTGCTCTTACAAACTTACGCGATTGTATACATTCTGTTAAAGGTCATTGCTTCTTTCAGTAACTACAACCTATTTGGCTATAAAAAGCCTCAACTGTCCTTAATACTATTTTACTTAGTCATTGTTTTTTTTTTAAACATTAATATTCCAATGATACTAACATTTGGTATTAATTTTAATTTAAAGTACAGTATTGATAAAATGGAATACACTATTCGACTATAACAAAATCCGACCTTGCTACTAATATATTTTTATCCAACATTTCTTCGATGTGTAATGCCATTTTAACTCACTTTTTGAGAATTGCACCCAATTGAAGAAACAACTCTAGATCTAGGCCTATATCTCATTGAGTTGAGAACATCTGTGTAAGATGTTAACAGAGTTTCTTCCAGGCATCTCTTCGGGGGGGGCGAAGCCCCCCCGAAAAATTTTTACCGCCCCCCCGAACGAAATGAAATTTATGTAATTTATATAGAAAATATATACTTTTAACAGTGTCCGCCCCCCCGAAGAAAGTTTACCGCCCCCCCCGAAGATTTCAAGTGCCCCCCCGGAGAAAAAAGTCTGGAAGAAACACTGGATGTTAACCTCAGGTTAACGTGTATTATAGTAACTTAAAGAACAACATGATCGTGAAAAGTATATTAATATTTTAATTAAACAAAAATCGAAAATATTTTATTGACAAATAGAAACCCTTTCTTAATTATAAAAGGGTAATTATACCTTTAAAAAAACTAATTTTTATAACAATATCAATATTCAAATTGAGTGTATCACTCCTCTTGCTTAAAAATAATAAACCTAATTTACTTATTTTTGCGGGATTACTAATTTAAGATTTCTATTGATCTTTGAAGTTGAAGTTAATAAAATTTTACTAATTAATGCAAATCTGAAAAGTTCACAAATATTTCGCTACCAATCCAACTATTGATATCACTTCTTTTGTCAATTTTACTTAGCTTAAAACGGAGATTTTTATTTCAAAATGTACAAGTGAACTCTCTTAAGTACCGGATTTTTTATAGCTAAAGTAGTCAAGTATTTTTAAAAACGTATTGAAGGTATATTTTTTTAACATGTTACTTTCTATTTCATTTGATATAATCACTGGGTTTTATTAGCAGCGTTCATAACGGAATTGCCTAGTGCATCAGCTTTCTTTGTTTTTTTCTTTCGAACTACGCATTCTGCTTTATTTCTTGGAAATAGCGTGTACTCAAATGACCTGTCGGGTTTGCTCTAAACGCCACACATTTTTTTTAAATTTCTGCACCTCACCACGCCCAGCACACTACACTGTGGACCAAGGCCGCCATTTTCTAGATTTGTCATCGCGAAATTTGTTTAGAAATATTTACATTAATTTCAAACAATTAACTCTACTACTTTTATATTAAAAAAAAAACTAATAATTTAAATTTCATTTATTTCGTAAATAATATCCTAAAATAAAACTTTTTCCTAATTGTTTTAAAATGTTGTTTAAACATGCAAGATTACCTTGGGACATATAAAAAACTTCTAAGGACAAACATAGATAGGTAACAAAAGATCTATTCTTTATATATAATATTTTTCATTCTAATTAATTTAACATACAACCAGTGAAAATACCCTAGTTTAAATCAATGTATACTACCGACCAATCTTTGTATTTATTTAAACGTAGCAGTATAGCTAATTTTCAGCACCCCGTACTTTGTGTCGGCTAGAACAGTCCGAACGAAATATCTACTAGTGTGTGAATTCGTACTTACTCTTTGAGTTTGCTGTTGAGTTAATTTTCTTTTCAATTTGTTCGATATAATTGTAATTGCTGCTTAGCTTAGACCTAACTTCTGATTTATTGTTTAGAGGTAAGTTTCCAAAAAAAAAAAAAAAAAAATATGCCTTGGTTGAGGAAATCAACACAATTGTAATAAACCTCTAAAAAATTACTATCAACATTCTAATTACATTACATGTATAGTGATTATTAAAATATACAATTAGTAGAAGTAGAATCTAGAATGTGTTTCGAAACAGTTTCAATTCGTAATAACCCATGAGCTATTAATTTACTTTATGATTTTTTATTTCAAATTAACTACAAAAAAAAAAACAGGCGTAGAATGTCATAAATTCAGTTTTTGTGGTTAAAGAAAAGCAACATTTTCTGAATCCATGCGTCCAAATTTACTCCCCCACCCTCACACCTAGTCAACACGCGTCCACATAAATCAAACTTTTAGGACCCCACCTCCTCTTCCCCATCCATAAAAAGATGCCCCTAATCCCTAATTGATCGTTTATTTTCTTTAGTTTTTCCTCAATACTCGTAATAATACTTCTTTTGTCCGTTGTTTTGTTATTACTAAAAATGTGGCTATATTAAGTAAAACATCATTTGAATTACCTTTTTAAAACGTCATGGTGAAGTTAAATGCTTTTTTCTTCCACTTTTTATCGCATCATCTGGTTCAATTTCAAAATTATCTGTAAAACCGAAAAACAATATTTTTGTCTATATTTAGAATATATACAACTGTGCACTGTATTACAGGATGAATAATGATCTATTTAAAATTTACTCTACATATATTATTTACATTACCCAAACAAAATCAAAGTCTTGTTTTCTTATTTTTCAGATACACACTTAGCATAGCAAAGAACTGTTTTGACTTTCCTCTTTGCGGTAATAATCATGCCATATCTGTCCAGCTTGCTAGATGTAATACCTGCAGAATCATTAAAACGTAAACAAGTGAATAATATTTATAACCAAAACGGGTTTAAATATGAGTGCAGGTAATATTGCTTATAAATTTGAATCACGCAGTTACCATTTTGACCTTAGTTTAATTTTTTGAAGGGTATATCTAAATAATTAAAGAAACATAATTAATTCTGCATTTTTAATTGTTTTGTTTATTCTCAACTCAAGTTAACTACGAGAAAGAATTTTGATTAGCTTTAAAGTAAGACTAACTTTAAGGTTTATTATTTATTAATGCATAATTGCTTAATTTATCTTCTATAAGGAAGTCGAGACAAAACTGAATCTGTATATCTTAACAAAAAAAATGGACAAAGCTTCTGTTCTTTATTATAAACGTTTGATTTTCCACCAATAGACAATATTTTTACTTTTCTTTATTTCAGTGTTTCTTTCAGTTTCAGGCATCATCTACATAGAAAATATATACTTTTCTCCTCTCCGCCCCCCCCCCTGGAAATTTAGCCCCCCCCCCCCCGCCACTAGAGATAAAAGTCTGAAAGAAACACTGCTATATCATATTTATGTGTATGTTTGTGTATTTTCTGGGTCTAGGACATTACTCTCTGTAAATTACACCCCCTTCAATACGCCCCCGGGCAATTACTCCCTTATCAATAACCCCTCTGTCAATTTCTCCGAATGATTATTCCCACTCATTCGAGAATATCTTTTATACATGTTACCGGCAAAGTAAGAGACTCGACATTCTAAAGAAAGCCTGAAATTGGCCGACATAGCAAGGCGATTGGGAAAGTGTCGGTCAAGCGTTACCCATCTAGAATATTGAATAACCTTAGTCTTGGCCTTAAGCCTAGCCCTAGTCATACCCGTAAGATTATGTACTTTAGGATTAGGTTTAACATTAGGATTAGGGTCAAATTGTAAGGGGAGTGGGGGAGGGTAATGTCCTACTCCATGTTTTTGACAGGGTGGTAAAGACTTGCTCCCGTATTGTCTATAACTATAACGTCTTTACTATTTGGTGTATAGGACTCGCGTCAAAGACGGCCCACCAAGAGAGTATTATGGATGAGGTGATGTATCTACACATGCTGGAGCCTGGAATATAAGCTGACTCTTCAACTTTGAGTATAAACATTATTTACATTACAATTAGTTGAAAACTAGATACGGAAATAGCTTTAGTGGAATTTTCATTTACGGTTGCTAACTATTAATAATATTGTATTGTTACTTGCTTATCTCTGCTGTGGGCTAGCTTGGTTTACAGGGTGTAGTGGTCCCTTAATATACTTATGCGTAGCAATAACTTCAACTTATTTCAGACCAGAAGGTTTCATAGGGTAGATGAGGTGAATTTTATTCTTGTTTCGCTCACCTACGCTTTCGAAGATGATACTTTTGTTAGCTGTCATCAACATCGCAAGTTACTTTTACTTTCCCCGCGTCATATATCCATTTGAGTGGAGAGATGAGCGACGATTTCATGGTTTCTCTCCACTGATTGCCACTGATGCTATTATGAGTGAATTATATTGTGTTTTACAAGATATATCCCCCTTTTTAACTGCGCAGTTAGTTAAAAACACCTAAAAGAAATTGTATCAAACAAGTTCGTGTACGTTTTTTAGCATAACATCTAAGTATGCCATGACCTTTACCTTTATTGTCTTGACTTAAAATAAAAAATACGAAGAATATCATGTATAGTATTGGTACGGTATCTACCCTAGTTATGTCAAAATATAGAACACCTTATTTGGTAGAGGCTGAAGTTCAAAAGGTGAAGATCTTTAATAGCTTGTTGAATGTCTGCGTATTTCAAGACCAAAGTATTACTACGATTGAAGCCTGCTCTAAATATAACTGGTGTGTATAGCGCTGAAGAGATTTTGCGACTGAAACTAAATAGTGTGTTGGATCCACACTAGATGGCACAAGCCCTACTTTAACTCGAGGTTCTCACACTGGTGTCTATGGCGCTCTGTGGATCATTGTAGCTATGCCTTTACGCACTTTGAATATCATGATATTTATTACAGATTTTGATATCTCAAACTACATGAGCACTCTCATGTTAGCTAAAGCCCCTACCTTCTTTCTGCCAACACTAGATATTGGACAGTACAGAGAAATTATAAAATCTTTTATATACTTCGTTCAACAAGGAAGCTACCTGCTAATACATAACCTTCATCTGACCTTTACCCTTTTTACCTTCGTCTTAACAGTTCAGTGTCAGTAAACTTTGCATGAATAATATTTCAATAGCCTTAGCGTGCGGAAGACACCCTACAGTGGACCACCATGAATTTCAACATTTTTTATTACATGAGACAGGGGATTAGTCTGATCCCTCTAGTAGTACACGGTTACCACGACACTGTTCTATAACAGAATCTGTATCTCATCACACGGCTTACATGTTATCTAGATATAGATATTTATTTTAAATATACAAATATATAAATTATTTTCCTCTAACTTCCTGTACCAGCATTGTCTTGTCATTCCAGAAAAGTAATGGTCAACCATCATGATCATCAGTACTCGTCACTGTGTGACGTAAAGCCATTTTCACCTACTAGAGTGTAAAACAAAGGTAACTATGTTGAAAAACAACATATAAATATTAATATGTACGGTAATAAGACAATAAATACATGCTAAAACTTAGCGCAAAACTAAAATACATTTAATCAACACAAAATATTCAGTATTATTTAACAGTAGATGCTCGTAAATTTTCGTGAGGGATTCGTAGGGCACTGAACACAAGAGACACTATAAAAATAAACAGGTCGGTTCTAGGGTAATGATCAAAAGAGCCCAGACCTAAAGCTGATTTTTACTAAATAAATTTTAACTACAGGGGTAGTCTGTATTAATAAATCTAAATCCATACTAATGTAAAGTGTCACATTTACACTGATGCACTGTACCGATCTGAATAGCTATGCACTGGTTTAATCCATGTCATTCAGTGATTGTAATTACCGAAAACATTATCTCTATGCCATGTTTATTTATTTTCTTTTAAGATTCACTATTAAAATGCCCTTAATAATTTTTAACTGGACTGCGCAACTTTCCAAATTGAACAAGTATTGACCTAGTTAAGGGTATTGAATGATTCATAATCAATCCAAATTAATAGTGGCACAGTATTATTATAGCATAAGTTAAATGTTATGTGTGTTTGAGTATATATATATATATATATATATATATATATATATATATATATATATAAATATATATCATACATTATACACACATATACATGCCTGTATTATATAAATATATATATAACTATTAATATTTTAACTCTTTATATTACAACAGGCTGCCACAATACAATAAAACAGATGTGAATCAACACACACGAGGTAGAACTGACTGTATTCAAGGAAAATTATTTTAAAATATATTTTTTGCGTGTTTATTTAAAAAAAAATATTGGAGGCATCCTACTTTAATTCGAATTGAAACCTTTTTAAAGTAGTGTCTTTAAAAACAACTAATATTATCATATCGGTAACTTATATTAATTTTATTTCTTCTATGATATTAATTCTCCATAAGTAATATTTTTATAATTATTACTCAGTCACTATTTTTGGTCAGAAAAAACAACCCATAAGTTATAAACGAATCGCATTTAAAACCAAATTACTCTGGATAATAACTTTAAAAATTTATATCATATAATGTCCAGTAAAGAAAATACATGTTAATTAAAGGCAATAATAATACAATGTAATTACAAATCATACATTTCTTTTAATAAAAATAATCGATGAATTAAAAACTATCACCGCATGGGTTATTGGTTTTACACCAGGTACGTTTCGAATGAACTCTAAATGTGACCTACTTACCCAGATCTCCAAGACCAGTAGTTAAAGATGGCATAGGTCAAGACACACTGATTTTTCTGTGTTGTCTCTGTTATTCGCACGTGTTGTGTAGAATCCCACTCTTGTACACGATAATAACAGTCTGTGAAACCAGCTTTTGTTCCAATCCAACTTTTCATTGTTTCTCTCAATTATAAATTATTCATACAATTCGAAAGTTTGAGATGAGCGGAACAGTGTCAGCCAAAAACATTCTCTCTTCTCCTGTATCTTATTAGTAGGTACTCCTTACTCTTCCATCCGACTCTGACTTATTAAATGCAATTTAAAGATTGACTACATAAAATCTTTAGTCTTTTATAAGCTGAAAACCAAGGGATTTCCCCTGTCAAAAAAAAGCCCATCTATTTTTAAACCGTGGGTTTCCCTGGGCTATTTCGTTTGTTACTAAGTTATATGAGCATTATAGCACATTTGTTAGGGTTGGAAATACCTGCGGGGTAAAAAAAAATATTTTTAAACCTACTTCCCCTTGCAAACCATGTTCTATCAGGAATATTTCACTTCGTGTCTTCTTAGTACTATTTCAGAATTATTCCAAGACATCCTGTTATTTCACGGTTAACTTATTTTTTTACCCCCGGCGTTTCATTAATTAGCTTCAGAAAATTATTTTTTCCTTATTTTTGACAAATATTATCGTACACACGTGGAAAAAAAGGAACATCGTATTTGTTAAAGATTGTTTTGTGACAATGTCCGATCAGTCAAAATTAGTTCTTCGTTTCTTGTTTATCAGAGGTTCCCATCTTTTTGGCTACTATTATAGAGCTACGTGGGAGTAAGGTGTGTATAACAAAATATCTAACTTAAACAAAAAATTATGATTTTTTAAGTCTTCAACTTAAAGAGTGGCTTAGTATTGTTTACAATTTTACACCCATAAAGTGTATTTTTGTTATCCTGTTTTTACTATTTTATATTTTCATGCTCTGCCTAGACCTGAATTTACTTTTGGCCATGGTAAAGTTGAAGATATGATGAATAAACAGTTTAACGATAGTTCAAACTCACTATTCATTGACCATCTGTTGGTTTGATTAGTTAATTATGGATCGGAAATGGTCAGGACTGCATATGGTTAAGGTTATAATGTATAACAATGTTTAAGTTATAAAACTTATTTGTTTTATATATATATATATATATATATATATATATATATATATATATATATATATATATATATATAGTTGTAGTATGGGCATAATTGACTTTTTAAAAGTTCAATGAATAACGCCATCATGGGCTTCGCGTAATAAATCGAAATGCAAGCTGTAGTTCTATGTTTTAATAGAAAATCTTAAATAGCTATAGTCATAGCAATTTCCTTGTTTCCAATATTGTATCAGTATAACTTTTCGTTTGAGGAAAAAAATTACACATTAAATTTAAATGTCTGATCAAGTCATACTCATACCTAGACTTTAAAATGTCCAGTAATATAAATAAACTTTTAGGTTCAGCTAGATCACTTAGACTTATTGGCTGCACTAATGCATCAGATGGTTTATTTCTTTAAAAAGGTTGTCATAATAATTCAAATTAACACGACAGCGAAGTTTTCCTGATAGTGTTTCTTTCAGGCTTTTTTCACAGAAAGGGGGGGGGAGAAGCAGCAGTAAAAAAAGTATAATTTTTTTATAAATTCAATTTTGCTATAGGAGGGGGGGGGGTTGCGCTAGACATGCTTTGGCGTGCCCGAAGAGATGTTGAAAGAAACGCTGTTACCTGAAGTTATCCGGGTGTTTTTTTTTTTTGCAGCATGCTGTTTTAAAAGCAACAAGAACTTAATCATACTTGATATTGTTCATGAATTATTTCGATTTAAAAAAAATAGAGAATGAGAACAAATAGGGTACAATTTAGGAAAAATGATTTCAAATTGGAAACAGATCCAAGAAGTTTAAAGTTCTGAAATCAATATTGTTCTAAAACATATCAAAATGTAATTTTTTGTAAATCTAATTTTTTTATATTATAAATGTAAAAAAAATATTTTACTATATTTGTTATGCCTATGTTCTGGGCCATTGCTAATGCCTGAGCTTAAACTTAAACGTTTGTTTTTATATTCGGAAAAACCTCGGCACAGTTTTGCTGAATTAATCTTCTTGTCGGCTGACCGAATTTCGAAATCTTTGGAGTATCCGCTTCAGTGGCGGATCTAAGGTACCGTTTAACCCCGCGTAGGCGGTTGGGGGCCCAACTTCCATCCGTAAATAAAATTAATGCGTAGATTTACAGTTTTATTTCATTCAAACTTAGATTCTTACTGTTAGCCATGCTTGTGATTACTACAGCTGTTGTTGGGTTATCTTTATTCTGCTGCCACTATGGGTCTATGGCTAACCCACGCTGTCGCGTCAAAATATATTTTAAAAACGTTACAAAAAGTATAGTACCGGTATAAAGTATGGAAAACCTTGAGATTTTCATGGCATATAATACATATATATTGCACTCCTTTATTTAGATAGCCATGTACTAAAGTGGTGAACGTGTGATAAAGGAGCAGAGATTCTTTCAGGCATCGGTGCCCCCCCCCCTCCCATCGAAGAAGGTCTCCCCCACTTCTCGAACGAAAAAAATGTTTTCTTCAACCAGTGCGCCCCCCTCCCCCCGCACACACACCAAAGAAAATTATCTGCGAGGGAGCACAAAGTCCGCAAATTGACTCTTCTTAACTTTTCCTTTTTTTTAAACGTATTGTTATAGTTATCATAATTTTCTTAGTTGTGGGTTATAGTTATACATTTGAAAAAAATAACGCTGAGAGTGAAGTCTATACGACCGACTGAAAGTGACTTCTTGTTAGTCGTCTATTCGTGCAACCAATGGACCCCACCGAGTTTGACTAGATGCCTCTGATCATTTTTGTTGACATACAGAGAGTAGATAAAAAACGTGTTTGTCAATTTTCTCTTCATATCGGCCAAAAAAAATGTCTAACATGTAAATAAGACTTTTGCATAAGTGGTTAACAGAAACTTGGTGCTGAATGTGCAGCATGAGTACGGCGCTAGTTTAATAAAGTGAGAACATAGCCAAAATGTTCAACGGGAATACACATTGTCTTGGAGGTGAAGTGCCAGCTGAATGCATGAATAATATGATAAAAGCTTAATAGATTTTTTATTTAAAAAAAAACTTTTACTTTAGTTTTAGCAAAATCAGAAAGAGAATCTAATGATTTGCACAATTGTTGTCGTCGGCCTTAAAGACGGGAACTGTTTTATCGGGAGTCATAATGCACTGTTGTTCAATTGATTACGGACGTAGTGTCATCACAATTTTCTTAAAACATCTGCTCCACAAGTAATAAATAATCAGAAACATAAACCATTTGAAATTAATTTAAAACAACTATGAGCTACAAATGTAATTGGGATACTGAACTTCTGTTATTTAAAGTATTACAACTCATAGACACTCCAATTATAATTATAAGTAGTACTAGCATTAACAAAAACATGGAGTTGGGCCAGTACAGTCAGAGATCTCAGAGAACTGACAACATTTGGGTTTGGTGAGAAATTTTGTTGAAGACGTTGCTGTTTTTTTTTTTAAAGTGTGTGGGGGGGGGGGGGGGGTACATGCGATTAAATGATAAAATATTAACAATGTAAAACGTTTACTTTTACAAATACTGTTTTTCTTTATTTAGGTAAAATCAATTTAATTAAATCCTGTTTATTAAAACGTGTAACTTTATCTGCTGTATCAAATATGTAAACTTTGTTTTATTTTCATACAATATCATTTTAGTAAAACTTTTTTCGTCTTTGCGTTTTAACTACTAATCTATCCTAATATATAAAAGGCCATTTGCGCTCTTCTCTCTCTCTCTCTCTCTCTGTCTGTCCGCAAAATATTTTCGCCGGACATCACGTCAGAATCGGCAGCGATATATGGATACCTTTATACGGACTTTTGTTGAAAATAATATGTTAGATGTTTTAAATGTATAACCACAATTTTATTTAAAGAAGAAAAATAAAAAATAAAGGCGTATTCGAATGTAGAGAAACAGTATTATTTATGCAACCGGAAAAGTGTTTAAACTTGGGACAAGAAACGCATTTAACAATGACGTCGCTTATTGTTTACACTAAAAAAAAGAGCACGAAACTGATGACGTCATCTTCCGAGTTTAGAATAAAAAGAAATGAACTATTTCATTCAAATATGATTTAGAGCTATGTACGCTATGAAATGTATACAATAGGATTTTTTTGGCCGAAACTTAAAAAAATTATTTTATCTATTTGGATTCTAGATCTAGAGATTCTAGATCTAGATATTGATCTAGATCTAGATATTCTAGATCATCTAGATCTAGAGATTCTAGATCATATAGATCTAGATATTCTAGATCTAGATCTAGATGATCTATAAAGCTAAGTTGTCGGGTGCCCGATAGGGCACTTCCCGGCGCAGCAAGCGCTTCAAATTTGACAGGATCTTGCCTTGGGGCGACAGAACACGGGGGCCGGTTGGCCGAAAAGTCTACGATGAGGGGGTCAAAACTGACCTCGACTGACCGGCGCCTTATATGGGCGAATTAATTAAGCATTCAAATTCTCAATGTTTTCGAAAGCCTAAGCGAAGCTGGGCAGCATGCCTAGTATATAATATTAGGAAAACGGCATTATCCAAGTGCTTGTATACTGTACGGCAGCTTGGAACTACAACAACCAGTAACTGTTGCGTTTAAATCCGCTTCCGTCCTAAAAACCTTGAACTTGAACCACGCGGTACTTCGGTAGTTCTTATTCTTTATTTTCATATTCACTGAACACCGGAAAAACCCTAGGATGCTTTATAAGAATTTACCGTGTCCTTTGCCAATAACAAATGGGTCGCTTTTGGGAATTTCTGACACTAGTTTAGCTTTATAAAAAAACACCTTGGATTTTTATAAAGACTATTTTTAGTGCCAGCTCAAACATAATAAGATTACATTTTATTCTATTTTTATCGCCACGCAAATAGGTTTATATAAGAATGATATTTGATAGGCGTATTAACATTAAATCTAGATGTAGAGTATGTGTAAGTGTAAGCATTCTAGGATTTAAATCTATTCATTAAATTGTGTTCGTAAATGTGAGTATTTAAATTTAAAATTTAAAAATGCGAATTTAAGAAGCGTTTCTAAACTTTTAAAAACTATTTGGTTTTTAAATTATTTTAATAGGGTATTAGTTTTTGGATTCACGAATTTTTATGTCATAAATTTTTAAAATGCAACTCATGTTTTATTTAGTCGAAATATATTTTAAAACTTAGATTGAATTTACCCTGCCTTTGACTTTAATGAAGGACTTGCATCTAACTTAGTAACCAGATTATGGACGCTTGGCCGATCAAATTGACTCTTCATCTTGCTAACAATCACGTTACTCACGTAACAATTATCACCTCGTTACTGTTTTCTTGCGCGTGTAGTTTCATCAACTGTTTCATGTTTATTAATAAGAAGTTCAAGTTATTACTAGAATTATTATTATTTCTAGGTTCGACTAAAAATGTTATTTTTCTTGAAAATCAAAATGACTCAACAATGATGATGTTTTCCCTTCTAAACGATTTTATAATAAAACTTACAAGTACAAGTATTGAACTTTTTGAACGGTGTCAATATTAATTTTAAAATATTAAAATCAATTATTCGTAGGTATTTAAGGATCGCCTATAAATAGTATAAAAGAGGTCACACGACTAAATGTCAGTATTGTAAGAGGGGGTGGGTGTTCTAAAGTTTGTAGCGAGGACATGGAGGGGGATTTAGAAAATATGACGATACAATTTTGCTTTAAAAAATAATTTTATTCTTAGAAACTGAATTTTAAGTTATTTTGCAGGCCTAAAAGAATAGCTTTGTGAATTGTATAAGGATTTATATTGAGATACTCAACGTTGGTCGAGATTAGAAAACATTTTCAATTTTAGATAGAAATCGTTGCTGATGTTTTTTTGTTGATTTATTTTTGTTCACCACATCTCTAGGAGTACGGATGTTGAACAGTTTATTTCTATAGTTGATTTTTCAAGCCATACTTTTAGCCTCGCTTAACTCAAATTTTTCTGTTTATGTTTTGGACAAGTATAAACTATACAAAACAGTAGGTCTAGTTTGTATTTATGCCAGTATACTTTTTTTTAAATTGTAAAAAAATTGTGTACACACATTACTACACTTACATGAAACTGTTGGGGTTAGTTTATAATATAAGTGCTGTAAGGGAATGTGTTAAAATTGTCTATTTATGTTTTATTTTAATTATGTGCTCGCTCCACAGGGGGGGGGGGGCGGATTGCACCGAGTGACACATTTAGGGGTGACACCACGGCAAATATTACAAAATGTGCAGAAAAAAAACTTTTTGCCAGTTCCATGAATGATTAAATTGAAGTTAAATAGTATTTAAAGTACAAAGCGACAATAATTACAAGAGGGTGGGATGACACGATGACGTGCAAACTATAGAGCACACATATCTATATCCAACTATTGATGAACATCGTTACTAATACTATTAAGTCTGCAGTGATTGAAGCTTATACACATACATCTATCTACGCGTATGCGGCATATATTTTAGTTATAGGCCTATTTAGGCCGACATACACACACCAAGAAGTGCCGCACCGGGTGAACCCCGACCTAGCGAAGCCACTGGCTCGCTCCCTTACGAAATATAATAAAACGTGTCTTCCGCATTATTTAATGCTCAAGTTATTTACCTCAAGCATCGATTAATTTTTAGAATTTTAGTAACTTCCATGCAGTGTTTCATCCAGACTGTTTTTTTCCGGGGGGGAGGGGGGGGGGGGAGGAGGAGCGGACACTGGTAAAACTAAAAGTATGTGTTTTCTATATAAATTCCATTTCTTTCGGGGGGGCAGAAGACTTTCTTCGGGGTGGGGGGACGACAGACCCCCCAACACCCCCAGAAAAGATGCCTAGATCAAACAGCTTCCGTGTCCAAAATCAGGAGGGCTATGGGCTATGCTTTGAACTGTTTGGGTGTCTTTCACCATATACGCCTATAGTTAATCTTTTTAATCTCTTTCTCAAACTTTCTGTGCAAGCAATTATGAAAATGCAAACCTCCTTAAAAGCCCCTTAAGATATCACTTTCAAAGTCCGGGTAAAAACGTAAAGGATTAGCAAGTTTTATTTATATTCAGTTCAGCTTGCACTTTTAATTATATGAAGGGACCCAACATGTTGTCATAGTTTATTTAATGTTCACAGGCAGATTTCCTGGCTCTAAAACTAGACAGGTGTCAGAATAAGCTTTGTTTTTTAAATCACTCACATGATTCTATGTTAGTACAGTAGTAGTGCTAGCAGTACAATATTTTGGTACTGTATAAAGTATAAACTACTAAAATAGGTATTGTGAAGATACCATTGTTCTGAGATGGAGCACACCATGATCCGTCATGGACATCAGTTTGGTATTCGCCTAATTTTATACTATTTATAATGAGAACTTAAGGAAACCACCCGTGCCTATTTATTACGTCAGTTTCTTTTTATACTTACATTATTTATACAATAAAGTGCATAATTAATAAAGACGTGTAAACAAAATCCGTTTTTTTTTTTTTTTAAATTTAAATGTGTTTTTCGCTTACTCTACTTATTGTGACGTGGAATTGGAATAAAATAACCCGGCTTTCAAGACCTTAGTAACAACGTTAGTCTACTGGTCTAGTTGGCACCATACAACACTACCAATCCGCTTGGTCTAGTCAGCACCATAAACCACAACCCAACCACTTGGTCTAGTCAGCACCATAAAACCAACCACTTGGTCTAGTCAGCACCATAAAACCCAACCCAACCACTTGGTCTAGTCAGCACCATAAACCACAACCCAACCACTTGGTTTAGTCAGCACCATAAACCACAACCCAACCACTTGGTCTAGTCAGCACCATAAACCACAACCCAACCACTTGGTCTAGTCAGCACCATAAACCACAACCCAACCACTTGGTCTAGTCAGCACCATAAACCACAACCCAACCACATGGTCTAGTCAGCACCATAAACCACAACCCAACCACTTCGTCTAGTCAGCACCATAAACCACAACCCAACCACTAGGTAAAGTCAGCACCATAAACCACAACCCAACCACTTGGTAAAGTCAGCACCATAAACCACAACCCAACCACTTGGTCTAGTCAGCACCATAAAACACAACCCAACCACTTGGTCTAGTCAGCACCATAAAACACAACCCAACCACTACAGTTTAGTTTACCTGTCGGTTAACTGATCTCGCTAGACAAGTACAATTTCAACATAACAACAAACGCCTATCCTCTAGTAGTATTCCCCGTATCAAAGTGCTAATTTTTTTTTTAAACTAATGGTCTTACATTATATAAACCCATAGATCTACATGTCAGCCTGTGCATGAAATAAATTGACAATTATTTAACTCAGTTAAAAAAAAGCCTTGAGTCCAGTATGATTGTAAAGCGAATTGTGTGCCAAGCTAATCGGTGTGCCAGTGTGTACCGGTAACTGAACGTAATATTTCCGTGTCACTGAACAATTGTAGCCTAGGGCCTCTGTTACAGCTCCTCCTAAGGTGCATTAACTTTAACATTTTTAATTTACTTTAGCGCCGCGGATACATTTAATTAGAAAATGTATAGAAAACGACTGAATATCTAATAGGTTCATAAGGATTAACCGTTGAATAAATTTGTTATGCCTGGTTGGAAACTATTTATAAAGTGTATGTGAAAAGACACACCTAAGACGTGTATAAAGCTTAACAATTGCTATATTATATATTTACACAGGAGAAAAGAAGAATATGTAAATATTGTAGTTTAACTCAATAGAGTCAACTCGTACATTTTTTTGCATACATTAGTTAGCTAATGTAGATTAACAATAAATACACTACACGTTTACGAAGAGTTTTTAGCAGATTATTTGAAATGAATAAGAACGGGTTGAGCACACGATTACCAACCCGGTAGTCTTAAGTCCAAGGACGTCCATGAGATCATTCTTGGTACCTGAATTTAAAAAGACATAACGCCTTTAATATAATATTTTTTATATGGCAAGGTAAACTTATCAGTCTGATGAACCAACGCGTATAACATGTGAAATGGAACTTATTTAGTTATTACTTTCATATTAACGACTGTATATATATATATATATATATATATATATATATATATATATATATATATATATATATATATACGGTATAATGAAATTCTCCTGTATGCTAGAGTTCTACGGATGGTAAAGTCGTTTCGTGGCCTCAATACAGGTCACTGGTTTAGCTTTCCTGGTAAATTTATTTCTATTGAATGATCGGCAAGTAGGTCACCAACTGAGTTATGACACTGCAGTTATTAAATATGTGCCACTGAGAAACGATGCTCGGGGTTTTCGTTAAGTGCGAGCAAGGTTAACTCTTCTATAAATTCAGGTAGAGAGTAGTGTCGGTGACCGCTAGTTTCTTCATTCAACTAGGGAATATTGGCATGTTTAGGAAGCGTCCTGCGCTGGATATCAGTACAGAGGCGTAGCAAGGGGGGGGGGGTGCGGACCGCACCGGGTGACACCAAGGCAAAAAATAGCAAAATATATAGAGAAAAACTTGAGGGGGGGGGGGTGCAAATCAAAAGTTCGAGGGGGGGTGCAAATAAAAAATTTGAAAGTTTGTCCCCGGGAAGGGTCGCTACGCCTCTAGGGGGGGGGGGGGGTGACACCATTAAGTGCCGCACCGGGTGACACCCGACCTCGCTCCGCCACTGTATCAGTATAAGACCTATCTTACTCTGCTCGTGCTCATGTTCAAAAGGTCATATAATAATTCAAATTATGTAAATAAAATTATTAGAGCCTTGCTTTAACTACAATGTTTTACTGTCAACATGACGTCAAATTTACACCATTTCGTGTGCTATTTGAGCTATTGAACCTGAGTAAAATGACGCAGCTCCAGGAACCACTGATGTTAAAATAAATACGTATTCCTAATTCAGCTTTGTAAACATACTATGAAACTGTATGCTACGGCTGTAAGAAACGTTTCGCATTTGATGTTTCT